AAAAGTTCCTTCTCATGTTGCATTCCTTTGGTTTGGAAGTTCTAGAATGTTGTCCGTAGATTTTTAACAAAGGAAAATCCCTTACTATCCCATTTGATTGATTAAAGTTCTGTGCTGCTCACTACTCCTTGGGGCCAAAAGGACGGAGTTGAACCATCATTCTACGATTTGTAGCCCGATACATTTTCATTATGTTATCTAGTCCCATTCAAATTACGTTGGAGGTGGTCTTTTTAGATATTGTCTACATTTACTTATATGACCATTTTTTTGCAATCCTCGGTAGCACTGAAAATGCTCTAGCTTAAGAGGGCGTCAATTGCAAATAGGAGATAAAGTAGTAATTTTTATTGGAAGACACATGTATGTTGATGTCATGTTCTAATTAAATTAGAGTTGTTGATTGTATCAGACAAGGATGTAAATTGCATATTGTAGTGTGCCACGTTATTTGTTACTTAAAAAATTGTTTAATTTGTCTTAATTCCTAACAGATGCTTGTACCAATGTACGGATTTAGTATGTTTACCATATTTTCAGACCCTTTCTAATAATAGTTAATAAATTGTTTTAGTGAATAAATTTTACTTCGCTGAAGCTCAAAGACGTCAAACAAAAATAAATAAAATGTATTTACTAAATATAATATGCTATACATGTAATTCTTGAAATATGACTTGATAAATAAAATTTAGACGCTACTAAATATAAACTTGGTCACACCTAGGTAATGTCCCATCAGACTTCGCGTATACTAATATAACGTGGACATGCTCGGTGGTGTCCCGTTTACTCCATGTGTGTGTATATGCTTGAAAAGTAATAATACTTGTACATAGTTCATCGTTATAATATAAAACTTTCGTCATACAAATGTATGAATAGTACTTGAACATTAATATAAATGAATAGAACTTCAACATCTTCTTGGTTCCATAGTATACTTAAATGAAAGTGCAAAAAATATAAATTGATAATGATTATAAAACTTAATAAAATAAAATCACAAAGTATTCATATAACCATCGAATGAACTTAAACCATCTTGATAAATAACTCGAAAATGGTAAAGTTGAATTTCTTTATTACATATTTCTGATTTATTTACTTTTTTTAAACAATTGAAGTATCGTAACAAGCAAAATACAAGTACAAGATCACAATAATTGTCAATTGAACATTGAATAACAGAATTTGGATTCAAAGAGGCAAAATCTCCCAAAATGTATTCATTTCATACAGAAAAATAAGAGATGACCGACATAATTGCCAAACAAATTGAAATTTAGACTCCTTAAACTCCTTCAAAATATCGAAACAAAACTAGCCATATTACATCTTTTGTACATCTGTACTTATCTTCGTCACTCTTTAGGATTGATGATTTGACACTACGAAGAACTTGATATGAATTGAGTGAACCAATTCAGTAGAAATCATGTACACCTCTCGCAAAACTACCGAAGCCAGTACTACATGATTCGCCTATAATTTCGCGCTTCGATAATCCTATCTGAAAATTAATTTGGGTATGTTTGATTGCAAATATAGAATTTGTATGGAAAAAAAAAAAGATTTTAGACAATTCTATTGTCTAAAACTTATTTGCATGAAAATTGTCAATTCAAAGTGTTTGATTGATTTAATTTTCAACCTAGAAAATATTACACGTGTCCGTTTTTTATTGGTGAGTAGATGAGAGGGAGTGGATAGATGAGAGAGAGAAAGAAAGAGTGAATTCCTTGGGGAAAAAATCTTACTCCTTCTAAAGAAAATATTTTCCTTAATTTTGAGAAAAATATAGTCACGTGACCAAAAGTAGGAAAATATTTTCCGTGGAAGAAAATGTCAATCAAATAATACAAAGGTAAAAATTTTGATGGAAAAAATACATTTTTTAGAAAAATATTTGTGACCAAACGCACCCTTAGTGTTCATTGAGAGAAGACTAGACCTTATTAATGCATTTGATTACCATTATTTGAGTGAACCAATTCATAGATTTAATAGCGAACTTATTGCACCCCAATTACACTTTAGTCAACATGACACTCTTGTGACTCGAACCCATTATCCTACTCTTATACCACTAACAGAATCGAGTTTCAATCATTTCATCTGAAAATCAATTAATATCTAGTGAGAAAAAAGTTAAAACTTGACACTCGATTACCATCATTTGAGTGAACGAGCTTATTGACTTAAGAGCACCTTTGTTACACCCCAACATCTCTTTTGAGCACATATGAAGCCAATTTATAATGACAATTGGTTTCTTTACATTATCTAAAATTCACTTGTATTTTTTTAGCCAGAAGATTCTTTACTGTAATAGAAATGACATCTATTGTGCTCGTGTGTAGCCGTACTCCTCCAATTTCAGTTACAAACTTCTCGATTTCAATCATTCATCCTTTCGAAAAACTAAAAAAAGAGTATTTTCATCCTTTGTTATCCGAAAGGGTGGTGCTACAGGTACAGGATGGGTTTCACAGGGGTGGTACAGGATTTTGAAATGTCTGACGTGGCAAGTGAAAAAAAAAAAAAGACAGACAAAACCACAATGAGACCCGCCAAAACGAACAAAAGAACAGCAAGTTCATTGACATTTCCCTCCACTGCAACCCACCCCCAATGTTCCGTTCGACATCGCCTGCCTCCATTCCGACCAACCTACTGGCGGCACCCATTTCACCTACCAACACAAGTTTCACCCACCGGCCTTCGTTTCCTCCTTCGACAACCGCAACTGAAGTAGAATCTGAGTTGTGCCCTGCATTTTTGTTGCCGCGACCGAAGCTAAATCCGGCTAATCGTTCGATGGCGCTTCAGTCCACAAGTGAAATCGAAAAAACTGTTATTTGTATTCGTTCAGATAAGAGTTCGAAGGTGCGTGGAAAGGTATCTTCGCCAATCATTTCTACTATTCAGCGTATGGTTTTATAAATTGAATTTCTAATGGGAATATAGAGAAGAACTTTCTGTGGGTACACTTGCATAAAATCACACAATTTATTATTTATATGACCAAATTTGAAATATGGAAGAAGAGGAAAGAGTGCTGATTTCTTTGCCATTTGATGCAATTGAGACAATAGGTCTTTTATTTAGTACCACCATGTGTCTATCTTAGCAACCTGATTTATGCTTTGTTCATCTTATATATTTTTTACCCTTTAAAGTGTACAATACTCTTAACATAAAGCATAATAGGTCTAATTACTGTTGTGTAGGTAGGAACTGGGAGCAAGACCAAGATAATAGTGTTCGAGTTCGGTATTTGCTCTCGAAACCGTAGCATGTAGCAACCGAATGTCCTTCCAATTTCTAGTTTGGTCCTTGATTTTTGTTTGAATTAGATAGTTGAATCATGAGAAACAACTATTGAAGTTGGTAATCTTTTACATATTTCTGTTGTATGGTTCCAAGCTACAAATGTTGTTGGAGCTTTCTTCTTTCCTCAACTCTTTGTTATACACTTTTGATGCATGTCTTCATGTTGTGTTTTATGCTGAAGCAAGAGGAATCAGAAAATCATTCCTAATCCTTTTTCATCCTCACAAAAATTATTGTTTGGCTAATGTTAAAAGTTACTTTAAAGTAAAGTTATTTTTGTCAAATTTGTGTGCGATACAAATGGAGTTCTGAAATTATTTCTGCTGCTATGTGGTAATGTCTTGGTAATGCTTGTTTATTATTTCATTGCAGGAATAGTACTTATGGAAGAGGAGTATCATGATTTATTGGCTGAATCTGAGAATGAGAATGTTGGAGAAGATGGTGTGAACAATGTGAACATACTTAGAAATGATAAGGTCGGAGAAGATGGTGTGAATGCACCTGAGGTGGGTATGATGTTCGATGACGAAAAAGAAGTGTTCGAGTTCTATAAACGATATGCTTATGAAGTTGGATTTCCTGTGAGGAAAAGGAACTGGAAAAAGGGGGGCGATGGAGTTGTGAGATATGTGACATTCACTTGTAGCCGCGAGGGCAGAAGAAGTTATGGTACAAGCAATTCTTTGAAGTAACAACCAACATGTCAAACAGATTGTAAAGCAAGGATCTCGGCTTCTTTATTGAGCAATGGAAAATGGAGAATAAACATAGCCCACCTCAAGCACAATCACAAAATGAGTCCTTCGAAGTCTAGGTTGTATCGATGCAATCGTGAGTTGTCTGCTAACGTGAAACGAAAGCTAGAGGTGAATGATATTGCAGGAATTCCACTGCACAAAAGTTACAACTCCACAGTGGTGGAAGCCGGTGGTTATGAGGCCATGACTTTCGTGGAGAGGGATTGTAGAAATTATATTGAACAAGTAAGACGACTATGACTTGGAGAAGGAGATGTAGCTGCAATACAATCATATTTTTCAAACATGCAAGCACGGTACCTAGGATTTTACTTCTGTATGGATTTAGATGAGGAGTTCCGACTTAAGAATGTGTTCTGGGCAGACAATAGGTGTCGGCAATCATACAAGGAGTTCAGTGATGTTGTCACATTTGACACAACATACCTCATTAACAAATACGACATGCCTTTTGCCCCGTTTGTTGGCATCAATCATCATGGGCAATCGACATTGCTTGGTTGTGGCTTGGTATCTAATAAGGACACTAGAACATTCGTGTGGCTATTCCGGACATGGCTGCAGTGCATGCATGGGCAAGCACCGCATGGGATAATTACTGATCAGGACAGGGCAATGCAGAATGCCATTGAGATTGTATTTCCGCATACGAAGCATAGATGGTGTTTGTGGCATATCCTTAAGAAGTTGCCTGAGAAGTTTGGTTATCATGTTGATAAGGCTTCGATCTTTTCGACTATACATCGATTAGTCTATGATTCACGACTCGTTGACGAGTTCGAAAATGGTTGGAGGATGATGATTGATGCGTACAATTTGTAGGATAATGACTGGTTGTTGGGATTGTTTGAAAACAGAGGTCGTTGGGTACCGTGTTTCTTGAAGACCACATTCTAGGCGGGCATGTCCACAACACAACGAAGTGAGAGTATGAATGCGTTCTTTGACAGATACGTGCACTCAAAGACCTCTTTGAAGCAATTTGTCGAACAATATGAAAGAGCACTACGGAGTAAGGTTGAGAAAGAGTTTCAAGTTGATTTTAAATCATACTCGCAAATGGTACCATGCGTGACGAATTATGATATCGAAAAGCAATATCAAAAAGTTTACACTATCACGAAGTTCAAAGAAGTTCAAACTGAGTTCATTGGGAAGGTATACTGTGACATCATATCAGTTTTAGAGGGATGTCCAAATGCGATTTACGAAGTTTGGGAGGATGTCCTACTATATGGCGAGCATAGGACGAAAAAGATTTTTTCGATTTCATTTACGAGGGATACATGTGACATTGTTTGCAGCTGTCACTTATTTGAGTTCCGAGGGATACTTTGTAGGCATGCAATCGCTGTATTGATCCGTAATGATGTAACAATACTGCCTAATAAGTTTATACTGAGGAGATGGAGGAGGGATGTAAGTAGAGCACATACGAGAGTTGCAGTTCACTATGACGGGTTGATCAGTACTCCTGCACAGATGAGGTATGATGAAATGTGTCAGGCATTTTCGGAGGTGGCGGATCTTGTTGCGGATGATGAAGCCCGAGCACGGGCGGTAATGGAGTGGATAAAAGTTCAAGTGAAGGAACTCATACTGACAAAGTCGAGTAATGGTGCTCATCGAAATGATGTAATATCTCATGGGTCGAATTCTCAAAACCATTTCGCCGTCAATGTAGTAGATCCTATATTGTCGAAAAGGAAGGGTGCGCCAAGGAAACTTCGACAACGAGGCCCGTTGGAGTCGAGTTCGAAGAAAGTAAAGGTATTTTATTCTCATAGCCTACTAATTGAAACAAAGTTAGAATCCAAATTCTCATATACGCAAACGATGTACATGCAGGCAAGTTCGAGTTCAGGAAAAGGCAAGAGACCAAGAGTTAGACACAATATTGCGGATGAAGGCGTACCTAATGTTGAGCATCTCAACAGTGCTCATCGCTGACACCATTGTCATGTTCGCAACCTTTTTTGGTATGCATACTTTTCAACTGTGTTGATATATTTCAAGTTAATTTTTTTTAATTTCCTCACAGTCTTATTTTGGGTTTGACATAATGTAGGGGAACAAGGGCAGCCAACAACAGATGCAATGATCAGCTTGTGGATAGGACGTTCGACTAGCAATCGCGGTTTATGCATCACATTATTTTTTGTAGGAAAAGTATCATATCTATTTTTGTAGAAATGGGATTGCGACTCATTTTGTGGTACATGATTTCTTCTATTTCGCGTATTTCCTTATGCTTAAGAATATAATTTATTTCCTTTAGGTCTGTTCTTCTTTGCAGCTGTTCTTGTTGTTCATATATAACATTGTTATTTTCCCTGCATAACTGATATGTATGACTATTGAAGGTTAAGGAAAGTTGACTTTAGTTTGTATTCCGTCATGATACCTATCTAAGCTCTCTGCCTCTGCCCTCTTTCAGTTGACTTTAGTTTGTATTCCTTCATGATTTGTAACACATTTCTCTCTAAATTTCTGTTTCTGAATCTATTATTTAGATCTTCTGCATGCCCTTTTCCAATGATTTCTCTACAAATTCCATAAACCAATTCCAGCTTCAGTTTCAGTCTACTTTCCCAGTTTGATGGTATTCGATATGCTGGAAGAAGAAGCCGGTTTCATGTTTTCGTCATTTTCAGTTTCAGCTTCAGGGACTGCTCCCTTATCTTCTTTTTTATGCATTGGACTCCATTTTCTGTTGTTGATCCATTGAATTGTGGACTATTTCATGTAAAATAGAGCCATCTTCTTCATGGTATTTTCCCACGATGCATTGGACTCCAATTTCTGTTGTCGATTTTTCTGATTGAGTCTCTGAAACTCAAGTGCATATTCGCAATAAAAATTACGTGAACTTAATAAACATTGAGAAGTGATCGTAGAGCTCTGAAATTTGCTATTGACAAATGAAAATAAAACTGAATTCATGTATTACTTATCGTGGTCACTTCGCTCCTACCAAAGTAGTTGCAAAAGTGCTTCAATGTGAGTTCAACAAGTAACCACAAAACAAACACAATACAAATAACTCGTTCAACAACTAACTACAACTCAAACACAGTATGAATAACTAGTTCGCGACTAACGATAACCGAAGCACAATACAAAGGACTCGTTCAACGGGTGTTGGGCCCATTCTTTTCCCATGATCCTCCTCACGTCCTTTTCCCTTGCGAAATGTTATGTTCACCGAAATCTCGACGTCTCGTTTGCTGGCTATTCGAGCAAGAGAGTCAAACATGGTTGGCAACTCTTCCAATTCCTCGTTAGCCACGACATTCACAGCTTCATTAACGATACTCGATTCTTCATCGCTTGATTCTTCATTTTCAACCCACTTGAAGCACCCGCACTCATCACTACAAGTTCGGAATAATCGACCCCTGTTACCAGTGTTCTTCTCAACCTGAAAACATTTTTGAGTTCCATGTGGACACCATGGGCATCTAAGTTTTCTCGGGCATTCCTTGAAATAATGAGCTATGCTTCTACAACTGTGACACACTCCAAAATTCGCCCCTCTCATCCTGACATTCAGAACAAATGAATTACGGACAGAATTGCAAAATGATGCCCTACACCTGAAAAAAATATACTAATAGGAACTCACAGGATGAAAATTAATGCAAGTTTGTAGAACGTAACATTCCCAAATCATGATATTCAGTTCTGTGAATATTAAAATGATTTGGGTGGTGCTACGGAAATATACTGATTCTTCAAAATGATTTCAGATGCTCAGTTTGCTACAATCTGATCGGGTTGTCAAAATTTCAATTGCAATCTCACAGAAACATAATGATGAAGAGAACTAGAAACAGATCGTCAAGTCTTCCCTGACCAGAATGATGCCAAAATCAAAAAGAGATGCGACAAAGTTAAACCCAAAACCTCAGTGGTACCTTGTCAACTGCAGCAATGTCGGTGTTTCAAATATCTGGTTGGAGACGTGCTCTTTACTGGTCGTTTGGCAAACGACTTACCAAGAACCTTTGAAAATGGTCATCGACGACTTACGAAGTGTTTTGTGAGGTTGGCTCTAGGAACGGGTTCACATATCTCAACTAAATGTGTCAGCCGGAGATGGATGAAAGACGGCGCCACCGGTGGATTCAGCCATTCAGCGACAACGAGTTCGGTGAGGAAGAGAAATGAATTAGGTTAGGTGAAATGAATTCTAAATTCCATTTCCGGGTCAAAGTTTTTTTGTTTTTAAATTCACTTGCCACATCATGAAATTCAAAATCCTGTAACCTGCCTGTGACCCTCATCCTGTACTTGAAGCGTTTTTCTATCTGAAAATAAATTTCACTGAACATGGCATGTCATTTTTGGAAAAGGGTAGTACTAAATTTTTAGTGATCATGCCCAATGAGAAATTTTTGGTTAAATAATTTTCTGCAAAACCCAAATTCCTCTGACCGTTTCAGAATGTGTCCAGACTTTTGTTTGTGCATACCATCTGCGAAAGGATCGATTTCTACTTTAGACCCACAATTTGAACATGTAATATTTAGTCTGTACACCACATTGATTTTGAACTAATATCAGTCGTATTTTCCAGCTGAGACGATAATAGTTTTAATTTCGCAAACTCATAAATCGACATAGTTTAAAGGATATAACAAGAAATAAGTTGCAAGAAGCAGCAAATTCATATGTAATTATGAAAACGCATTTTTAAAATTATAATACACCAAATTAAGCTTTTTTAAGTGTAAAACATGAGCGATACATAAGACATCAAATCCAAAAGTAGCTCAATATTGCATTTGATCATTAAATATGCATTCAAGAAGCATAGATAATCTTGATACCATCAATGGTGATGTCATCTCCTCCAGGCTTTGGAATTAGAGGTGTAAGCGGTCCGACTTTACTGATTTTTGACAAATTTTTAAACCAAACCATTTAAACCGGTTTGAGAAAAATCCAAACCTAAACCAAACCATTTTGAACGGTTTGAAAAAAACTCAAACATAAACCTAACGGTTTGGTCCGATTTTAAATCGTCGGTTTCGTCGTATTTTTTTGTATGTCTACTTTTATGATATTAATTCATTGAATCTAATATATATTTATATTTTACTACTAGAACAATCTAAGCCCTTGTTTGAACCAAATTTTTGGGACAAAAAAACGAAAATTTGGATCATTATCCTACAAGTCCAATCGCATTTGTTGACCTATTGTTTCGTGCATGGGACCCAGCCTTCTCTCCAACGGTCAATTTTCTCATTATGATAACATGGAAAATATGGCTTGAACAGGTGCTAAATATATCTACTATAAATTTGAATATCTACTAAATCAAAGTGAAATCACAATAAACTAAAACATAATTTTTTTCATTTTTGTTCATCGTTTTTAGGCTAATGACGTTATGATAACGTTACAATACAAGTCTACTAAACGAGATATAAGGCCCAAAAAATATAACATATAATGATATCCAACAAGACCTTGTGATCATCATATCTGAAAAAAATGTTACTGATTAGATAAAGAGAATAACCAACCACAATAATAAATCAGATATTTATAATATCTTAACATAACAAATACACAAGATTATGTTTGTACGTTGTTACGAAACGCATTTAATTTCAAATTTTTACATCAGTTTGCTCAAAAAAATATTGATTTGAAACTTTATTCGTAGCAAATATTATCATCGAAGGCATAGGATCTCTTTGTCTCCGATTTGGTGTAATAGATTACAATTCAACTTTGAAGTGGTGTAAAAAATCTGAAGAAGAAGTGTGTGTGGTGGTGGTGGCTCAAGACTGTGTTAGGTGTCGGTTGGAGTTCATTTGAATTCTAAAGAGAAAAAGGGCTTTTGATAGATTATGTTAGTTTTGAGATTATTAGATATAAATTAGGATTATTAGGTAATAACAATATATATGTATTAGAAAATTAGAAATTGACAAAATACCCACAAATGGCAAACTATTGAATTTTACATATTTGAATGAATTTTCAAAAAACTCCATTTATATATATATATATATATATAATTATTTTTTTTTTTTGGTCTGATTTGGTTTTAAACCGTAATTAAAATTTTCAAACCTAAACCAAATCATTTTGACCGATTTGGTTTGGTTCAAAACTATTTCATTGACCGGGTTCACATGACATCAAACCGACGATTTCTAAAATGCGGTTTAAGTTTGGTTTTCCGATTTTGCGGTTTTTGCTTACAGCCCTATTTGAAACCAAAGAAATCAATATTTTTCCATCGTCTTCAACATCCAAATCCTCTAACAATTCACTCAACCCCAACCTAATTTTAGTCTTCGACCTAGTCGAATTCTTAGGAGGCAACCGCAAGAAGCATCACACGTACTATGAAAAATTTAAAAATAAAACTGATTTGGTCACATAGAAAAACAGTGTACATTACCTTGTATTTATTGCATCAGTTAGTTACAGTTACATAAGAAGATTTACATAAAAATAAAGGGATTTACAAGTTGGTTGCAAAGGATAAAGCTTGCTAACAAGATGAAGTCATGTAGAGTTAGGACTTTGGAGAAAGATGTTTATCTTTATCATCAGATGGGTGCTGCAACGTTTATCTCTATAACAGCCCCTCGGAAACTGATAGGTAAATCACAAACGGAAAGTTTGTCACGAAGATAGCAAAATCTATCTGCTGTATGTCCCTAAGTGAAAATATCGGCAAGTTGCATGTTAGTAGATAAGTGCTCAATAATTATATCCTTGTTGGCCACCTTTTTTACGCACAAAGTGGTAATCCACTTCAACGTGCTTGGATCGGGCAAGAAAGATGGGATTCAATGCTAGAGCAAGAGCACTCACATTGTCACACCACGCTACAGGAGGAGAATCAAGAGAAATCTGCAACTTACACAACAGCATGCGCATCCAGTAAACTTCAGCTGTGACCAAGGCTAGGCAGTGATACT